TTTTAATTTAAAGAAAACGAAAAATATTTTAAAATTATTTAATGTTTCTTTTTTTGTAAATCTTTCCTCCATTTTGAAATTAATTTGTTAAAGTACTTCGTAGTTCATTAAATAGAAATATTTATTTAATATGTGGAACAGGTCGAAATGTGAACTTTATTTAATATTATTGTGTATTGAAAGCAATATATACTTTAGAGCCATTATTGCATGGTTTTACAGATAAACTCACTAGATTATTGTTGCTGCAAAATTGTCATTATAAGCAGCAACAACATAACTCAATTCTTTTGAAATTTCATTGGAAATTAAATTGGTATAATAAAAATTTTAAAAATTTTAAATTAACTAAAAATGTAAAACTAATTTTATTAAAATTAAATTAAATAAAAAAAATTAGAGCGCAGGTTAGGTTTGGTTAGATTAACGCGACTATCATAAGATACACATTGGTCAGATAGGCCCGTTGCGATACCGCCGGTTTTACATATCAAGGTGTATGACCTCTTAAATTTTCTTCCGAAATAATATTTGAATTATTGTATGAAATAGTAGGAATACAAGAAAGAAACTTTAAGAATTGCTTTAAAATTATAACACAAAAAATATTTTATTTCTTGATTGATCAATTGCATTTTTAAATGCGAAGAATTTTAAAATTTTGTTTTCCATTCCATGCTGAATTTATACAAAAGTCTACATCTCACTTTAAAAATTTCATTTGTGAGTTAAACAGCAAATTTCTATTTCTATTACAAATTGCTTTTCAATAACAAATATATGAGTTTGTATACAGAACAAGTACCATGTGTATAAAGTATAATGTTGCGTTCCATTAAAGATATGCGTTCTTTGTATAATATAAAAATTTAATCATTCTTATTCTTATTCTATCACATTATAAATTCTTAACACATCGAAAAAAATACTCATGTACATTATTTGTATGTACAAATAATAGCGAATATCCTTTTCAGACTCCTTGTTTTTTTTTTCTCTCTCTAATAATGTATTCCTTATAAGTATAATTTCTTTTCAAATCAAATAATATCCTGGGTTGCATGTCAACTTACACAATATGAAAATAACAATTTTTTTTTATTTAGAATTTTTGTATGTACTCGATTTTTTCGCATATTACAAAAAGTGCAGAATAGAATTAAGACAAATTTTAAGGGTTAAAACATTTTGGTCCTTACAAAATGGAATGGAATGGAAAAAAAAAATAAAAATAATGTAAAAAAATTTCCATATTTTTATTTTATTTTTAAAAATCTAGAGAAAAACGAAAAAATATAATTTTAATGAATTTTTCATCCTTTCATACGTACAAGCTATGAATCATGTATGAAACTTTCTTTCAATACATGTTGTTCATACAAGAATGTTGATGTATGCGCGATAAAATGTTAAAATTTTATTTCTAAAGTACTCTTGCATTTTTTATGATCTAAGATAATTTAAAATATTATGGTGCGTTTTATATGCCTTCTGGCCGTTTTTTTATAATCTTAATAAAAATGTACAAGTAGACGACTGGATGAAACAAATTTTTTATAGATCCCACTCAAAGAAAACAAAAATATCTCTTATATTTTTAACAACATTCTAGAGCTGTTTGGTGCTTTTTATTGAATTGAGAGAAGGGAGTAAATAAGAAATTCATTTTAGATTAACAACAAGCATATTACAAAAAATTAAAATATAATTTTTGAAAAAAATTTTTATGGCAAAATAGTTTTTTATTTTGAATTTTCCATGTTACTATGGACCTCATTTAAAATTTTAGTTGAAATTTATTTTAGTTAAGTTTATTTTAGTTGAAAAATTAAACCCTTGGAAATAATAACGCAAAAGTATAAGCGTTTTAAAACATTCACTGTAAAAAAACTAATTATATAGCTTATGAAATCCCGGTTAGAAAACACTTGAATTGCTTGATTACGTTCCTTAAAATCAAACAAATTATTTGTAATTGACAAATTTTTGAAAAATTTTGATTATTTTCAAAATAATTTGTTAATTTACAATTTAAAATCATTTGAGATATTTGCGCATTTAAATTTCTAATAAAATATTAAATCGATAAGAAAGAGAATTTAAAATTCGCTCTTATATTTTATTAAATTCGCAAAGTAAATATTGTTTATTACTATGACGATGAGCATTTACATTAAATGTGTACGAGCTTACAATTATTACAATTTCTTCATCTATTTCAGCAAATTTATATTAGAAATTAAATTTTTTATATAAGAAAACGGAGCTGGTTCTCTTTTGTTTGGTGCCCTACGTGGTTTTCTCTAAAAATGGTCTCCTCCCGCTTTCAAAGCAACGAACAATATCAAGAACCATTGTCAATTTCGCAAAATAATCACTTCCTATTTTCCGGTATTCATTCTATATGCTTATTTGGCATATATTGTAGACCCGGCGCAAGCAACAAAATAATTTGAGAAAATTTTATTTTTACACTCTCTTGTTTTTAATAAAAATTGTAAATACTGCTCGTAAATCACATTCTAGAAGAAGTAAAACTAAACAGAATTAGACTTTATATATAGTACATATTATGCTTTCAAAATTCCAAACACATACACAACAATTCTGAAAAAAAAAAAAAATGAATTCAAAAAATTTATTTTAATTTTTTTAATAATTTTGTTTTAAAGGTTTCAAAAGAAATTAATAAAATTTTATTACTTTTAATGTTATCGAACTGAAAACTTTTATAAAAATCTAAAAACTGTTATACTGAAAGTGTTAATATAAAAAGAAATTATTAACTATTATGAAATTAATTCATTTGTATTCAAATTTTTGTAACAATATGCTACGCTACATATATTGGCATAATATCTAAGGATAACACACCCAGAAAAAATATTAGAAAAAGTAGTATAAAAGTTTTGGAACAAAAACTGTGAGAATAGTGAAATAAAAGATTTAAAATAAAAGTTTAGAAAACAGAAAAAAAAAGAATAGCAAAATTTTAACAAAAGACTTAAAAAATCTTGTTTTTGTCTTTTCAACTTTATACAAAAAAAATAATAAATAAATAGAAAAGCAAAAACTTTTTAACCACAATAAATTTTTTTTTTATATTTTTGAATTATTTTTTTATTGTTTTATCAACACATGACACATATTTATAATTGTATTAGTAACGAAGAAGCAACGAAGTGAAAATTTTTATCATATTTTTGTAGAACTCAAAAAATTTCTAGTGAATTTTTTCTTTACAAAAAAAAAAAACCATACACACAAAGAAAAAAAATAAAATTTTAGAACGGATTCTAAATTTGTTTTTTAAATTATTTTCTATTTAAATCTCTCTTAAAAAAAATTGTAATTGTAAATTTTAAAAAATTAAGACCTACAAACACACAATATATTAAAAATTAAAACATACGTGATTCTACTGCGGAGAAAAATATAAACACAAAAAATTTAAGAGGAATATTAAAGAGAGAGAGTAAGAATCAAAAATAAAAAGAGAAAAAGGAAATAAAAAATACGGTGCTCATAAAGTGTGAATAATTTACTTTTATAGTTCTTTTTTACGAATATAAGCTTATATAAAAAAAATAGCTGTGTAAATACTATTAAAAGAGCAAAAAAAAGGATAATAAATCCTTTCCATTGAAAGAAGCAAAACATTTTTTTTAAATATTCTTGAACTCTAGTTTTATTTTTTTTTTGCCATTCTTTTGGCACAAACACCGCAAAGCTGTTTTTCTTTTACATTTCAAAATTTTTTGGGTATTTTGCTCTATGAACTCAAATTCAATTTGTTGTTCTCTAAAAATAAAAGAGAATAAAGAAAGATAAAAATTTAAATTTTTTTGTTTTTGTGAGAGAAAATTTACTTAATTTTTTATATTTCTTTTAATTGTACAAGCAAGAAAAACTAATTAAAAATTGAATTACAAAACTCGTCTTTAAAGAGAAAAACTCATATTGTTTTATTGTGCTAAAATTGTGAAAATTGTAATAAAAGAAATTTAATTTAATTCAACAAAAAAAAAAGGGAGGGGGCAAAAATTAAAATCACATTAAAAAAAAAAAAAAAATTTGACCCAATTATTTTTGGGAAAATTATTAACGGCAATCAGCTGCAAGAATTTTAAATTTTGCTGCATCAACAATGTTAATTCGATGGAAAAGCAAGGATAAAAGCCAATCAAATCAAAATAGTAGCAGTAGTAGTAGCTCATCAAAAAAGAAAAGAAAAGGACGTGACGGAGGTATAAAAATTTTTTTAAAGACTTTTTTTTTCCCTCTAGTATTCTTTTATTATAAATTAAGTGGAATTTTAAGTAGTTTACTTTAAAAATGTTGAATTTAATTTGAATGAATAAATTTATTAAATTTATTTTTCAAAACTTTAATGTAAATTTTATCTGCGATGCGTTCGGACTCTAAACTGGCCGATGTTGCAGTAGTTATAGCGCCGTTTCATTAAATGAAGAGCTTCGGCTTCAAACCGTGATCGGGTCAATAATGTAATTATACTGAAAATTATATTGTTTAATATACAGTATTATAAAATAAAATGTTAATATAAAAGTAATTGCCCATTACCAACAACAAGTAAACAATAAATTTCAATAACTCTCATATCAATAAGCCTCAACATTTAATGAAGCCAGAAAGAAAAAAACAAAGAAACAACATTTGTCTCTAACAATATTTACATATCATGACATACGGCAAAGAAGTGACAACAGGAAAACGAGCACGTCCATTAATTTTGGGTCAGCTGGGGTTATTTTACGATAGTCTATGCACATTTCGAAATTTTCAAAGTTGCGAACCCAGATAATTGACATTTTAATAAATTTTGTATTATTCGAAAAAATTTTTGAAAATTTTTTTAATTCTTTGCCATTTACATCACCCTTAAAATGTCTTCATTCGCTAAAATTAATTCTGAAAATTTTTATTGACTCATTTTTAATAATTTTATAAACAATTATCAAAAAGAAAGATTTATTATTCAGTCACAATATTTGTATATTTCAATTTTCATTACAATTTATGCATTATTTTAAAATTTTTAAAAATTTCGGAAGCCAATTAATATTTACATTATTTTATTAAGGTATTAAAAATTCGTTTTATTGTTGTTTATCTATAAAGCACTTTACGTTTCCATGTTTGTTTTTTTCGTTTTTTTTTTTAATCAATTTACAAAATCAAACCGGTATTCTTTTGTACCCAATCTCTGTAATATTCAACACTAGCATAACCATCTGGATATGTGCTACCACAACCACCAACAACGAAATTAGCAATACCAACTAATTCATTATTATAGACAGCTGGACCACCAGAATCACCATTACATGCACCATTATTACTTGGATGACCTAAACATATTAAACCAGCAAAATTCATACCACCACATGAAGTACCAACTGCTTGTAAATAATTATATTTTAAGTTTTCTGGAATTGGACCACCAGTATAGATACGACCCCAACCAGAGATTGTTACTTGTGCATTATATGGTACTTTTGTTCTTGCCAATTTAATTGGTTGAATTGCACTTGAATATTGTAATGGTGATGATAATTCAATTAAAGCAACATCATTTTGGAAATTACCATAACGTTCATGTGAAATAATACGTTTAGCTGTAATTGCAACACCACCATTTGACAATTGATTTGAACCAGCAACAACAGTATAATCATAAACATTATTTCTATAGAATAATATAAAAAATTCATAATATTTAGAATATTTTGAATTTAGAAACAAAAAAAAAAAAAAATTTACCCAACGCAATGAGCAGCTGTTAAAATCCATGTTGGTGAAATAATTGAACCACCACATGTATGTGATCCACGAATTCTTAATGAAATTTGATGTGGAAATTGTTGTGGTAATGCATCCCATCCACCAACAATACGACCACGAGCTGAAATTTCACTAACAGCTACACCAAGTAAAACAACCAAAAGTACCACTAATTTTACCATTCTTTTATCTTTCGAAATTAACAAAGTAATAACTTAAAACAGCGTAATAACAGCTACTTTTATATTTTTACTAAAAATATAAAAATAGTCTAGTAGCTCAGATATTATTGGTTATCGCTTTATAGAAAGTAAATCTTATCTTTATAAAATCAATTCTTTAAATCAAAAATTCCGACATCGCATAAAAAATATTCTTTTTTTTTGCAATATCAATTGAAATGAATTAGAATAAAAATTATAAAATCTAATCTTGGCTACTTAAGATCAACTGAATTATAAAATCTAATCTAATGATAAAAATCATATTTAAACTGATTGGATTGAATCACAGAATTCTCTTCAAAGGCTACCTTCTATTAATTGATTATTTTTTTTTAAATTCTACAATTATTATTGATAAGCTTTAAATTCAATTTTTTTTCATATTTTATTGGTAGTCTTAAATCGATATGGGGAAATCTAATTTTAATCGGAAGAAGATTAAGAAAGCTATTTAAAAATAGAAAGAAGACTTTAATATTTGCGTAATTTTATTTTTGTACTTCAAATGGATTTAAGAAGGGTTTACGGGATTTATAGATAATAATTTTAAGACTGGAATTTCTTACAATTTTTTTATTGAATGGGAATTTTTTATTTTGTATCTATTAAGTGATAGCGAGTTGTTTTTATTTATTCAACTCTCAAAAATCCAATTCTAATTAATTTCCCAATTCCAAATGTAAAATAACTTTATTAAAATTAATTTGTTTTTTTTGTATTTCTCTTCCAGGTACGTATTTTTCTAAGCTGTAGCTACACAATTTTTAGTCTAATAAAATTGAACGTTAAAGAAGTTGCTGCAATGTAAATGGTAACTGTTATATTAAATATTTTAGCTTAGATGGTGATTTAATTGTCATCATACCAGATGAAATGCAAATATTATTAATTTTTGTCAACAAAATGTAAATAATAAATTAATAATTCTTTTTTCTTTTGGAAAATTCTACTATGTGATTGCGAGTTCATGTTGTGCGAAATTCATGATTTTATTCAGAGTAAAACAAATTGTTGTGACGAGTAACTAGCTGTTATTGAAATTTTTTTTTAAATTCAGCCAAGTAATTTGAGCTATAGTCGGTTAATTTTGATTTATTTGATCGCACAATATTACTTATGGCTGAAGAAATTTTAAATTGAATTCGAATATTGGAAATTTTTAGTGGACAATTTTTTTCTATAATATTGTACATTTAATAACAACTTAATATTGTTATACTACACATTGTGCGCATATTAAATGTGCAAATATTAATATAAGTAGCATAGGAAACTATTCATACCAATATATTTAAAAATTCGTATCTTCTTTTACAGAAAAATTTAGTTTATAATTAATTTTCAAAATAATAATTCAAATACCTTGGAAAACGAAGATGACAGAACAGTTTCAATTTGCTATTTTTTATTTTTTAATTTGTTAACGCACAATTATTTGTAATAATACATACAAATAAATCATGAATTTTCAATGTGATAAAGTATTTTAAAAAAAATTGCATATATTTAGGATGAATGAAAATTCAAATCCTAAATTAATATCAATTTTTTTTTTAAATTAATTAAATTTTTTAGATTGTGATATTTTTATTTTGAAAATATAAATATAAATTTTCAATAAAATCACACTATATAATTCTTCTGTTCCATAAACACTTTTAAATAAATCTCAAGCATTTAATCCGTTCAGTGTAATTGGTGATAGACTGTGACGCTGGTTTGTAAATGAATTAGAGTTACAAGCAATTGTGAGTGTTATATACCCTCATATTTTATGCAAATACTTTCAAAAAATTTTAATATTTGAGAATTTACATTAACAACAAAATTAATATTGCATCAGGATCTTGTTACAGAATCAAAAATTACAAAGGTATACTTTTAAAATTCTCGAGAATTTTAAAAACTTACATAAATTTGTTAAAATAAAATACCATTATTATTATTTTATATAAAAAATATCGTTTGTTTTCCTTAAAACAGTTTATCATTTCCTTTATATAATAATTCATAAGAAACCGAAATTTCCGAAAATTATAAACAGATTACATAAGTTCTTCATCTTTATTTGTACAGCTCTATAGAGAATTCTGTAAAAGAAAGAAAATTATAATTTACAATTTTTATTTAACAAAAAAAAAAAACAGAAACCCACGAAATAAAATAATTTTTATCTCTTTTTATACCCTGCACTTCGTGAAGGGTATATTAACTTTGGTATGGAGTTTGTAACTACTTGAAGGAGTCATCTGCGGTATGGACATATATATATATTCTTGCTCAGCGTAAAATTCTGCGTTGATTTAGACATGTCCGTCCGTCCGTCCGTCCGTCCGTCCGTCCGTCCGTCCGTCCGTCCGTCCGTCCGATCGCACGATAACTCAAAAACGAATAATGCAATCGACACCAAACTTTCACAAGTTGCTTCTTTTGTGCCAAGGACGAACCCTATTGTTATTGGACCAATTCGGACAACGGGTTCGGGTAGCTGCCATACAACTCAAAGAGTTTATTTTAATTATTTCAAAAACTAATAAAGGTACAAATATAAAATTTTGTATACATGTGTCCAATTATATCCTACATATGCTCTAAAAATTTTAATGAGATAGCTGCACCGGTTCGGGTGGCTGCCATACAACTCCAAAAGCAAATTTTTTATATTCGGCAAAATAATAAAGTCAGATTCATGAAACTTGGCAGTTGTGTGTCCAATTATAGGTCAAGGATATTTCTGAAGTTTTGGTGGAATAGCTTGACAGGTTCGAGTGGCTCCCATACAAGTCCAAAAGCTTATTTTAAATATTTGGAAAAATAATAAAGTCAGATTCATGAAACTTGGCAGCTGTGTGTCCAATTATAGGTCAAAGATATTTCTGAAGTTTTGGTGGAATTGCTTGACAGGTTCGAGTAGCTCCCATACAAGTCCAAAAGCTTACTTTAAATATTTGAAAAAATAAAAAAGTTAGATTCATGAAACTTGGCAGTTGTGTGTCCAATTATAGATCAGATATACCTGCGAAGTTTTAGTGGAATTGCTTGACAGGTTCGGGTACCTGCCATACAACCCTAAAAGCTAATTTTAAATATTTGGAAAAATAATAAAGTCAAATTCATGAAACTTGGCAGTTGTGTGTCCAATTATAGATCAGATATATTTGCGAAGTTTTAGTGGAATTGCTTGACAGGTTCGGGTACCTGCCATACAACTCCAAAAGCTAATTTTAAATATTTGGAAAAATAATAAAGACAGATTCATGAAACTTGGCAGTTGTGTGTCCAATTATAGGTCAAAGATATTTCTGAAGTTTTGGTGGAATTGCTTGACAGGTTCGAGTGGCTCCCATACAAGTCCAAAAGCTTATTTTAAATATTTGGAAAAATAATAAAGTCAAATTCATGAAACTTGGCAGTTGTGTGTCCAATTATAGATCAGATATATTATTAGCGAAGTTTTAGTGGAATTGCTTGGCAGGTTCGGGTACCTGCCATACAACTCCAAAAGCTAATTTTAAATATTTGGAAAAATAATAAAGTCAGATTCACGAAACTTGGTAGTTGTGTGTTCAGTTATAGATCGGACATATCCGTGAAGTTTCTATAGAATGGTTTCACAGGTTTGAGTAATTGCTATACAACAATGAAAGGTGCAGGGTATAATTCAATCGGTTCATACCGACTGAAACGTTTTTACTTGTTTATTTTTATCTATTATCACATCTCTTTCTATTTATATTTTCAAGTCTATAAAATTAAAATCCTCTATATACATTTCGTATATACAAATATTTTTATATACTCTTATCAAATAGGCACTTCAAGTTAAAGGATTCGTTTGTGTAGGCGAAAGAAAATTACACAATATAAAAGAAAAATGTAGGATAAATTATCGCGATTTGATTGATTACATTAATGTTCAACTTCATCACTGTTTTTCTATATATATATTTATATATACATTATTTACTTTCCTTCGTTTCTTTTGTAATTTATTTTTTTAACAAATTTTCTCGTTTTACACGCTCTTTAAGTCTATATCATTTTATATAAATTAATTCCCTTCTGATCAAGTATTACTTACATATAACAGCAGTAGGTAATATTTTCTATATTTTCATGACATATTTCTCTATGATAATGGTTTCTATATAATATATATCAAAAATATTTTGATCAAAACAGAAAAATATAGCTAGAATAATTTATGGGAAGAATATACAGTAGTTGATACTTTTCAATTCATTTGTAGAAATTTTATTCAATTTTAGTTCGAAATTGAATTTAAAGGAACTGGTACGGTGCAAAAACAAATTTTCTAAAATTTTCTTAGTTTTACTTATCTATTTTTTATTAAATTTTTTAGTAAACAATGCCAGTATATTTCTGTTAATCATGAAAGAATTCTAAAGGGTTATAATATTCTTCCAATTCAAGATACTGAATATCGTTAATCGGGAAAACACAAAAAAAATTTCTATTGAATTGTTCTTAAGAGCTGATTAAAATCCAAAAATTAGCATCAATATGTTTCCCTTTGCATAATATTGAATCTGATCATGAAAGGGTTGTTAAGCATTGAAAATTTCAATTAAATTTATTCAATTATAGTCTTATTAATTAATTCTGCCAGAATTTAGCCTGAAAATGCCTACATTTTTGAGCTTTAAACTGTTTTATAATACACTCATAAATGAAATCAATAATTCGGCTTTCTTTTATATGCCATATACCCCTGTATATTTAAACTCTATTTAAAAAACAGAAAAAGAAAGTATATACAATAATGATACCATAGACACCGTGGAGACAATAATTTCTATAACAAAATAAACAAAATAAGAGAGAGAAAAAAAAGTTGCAATAGCACTTGTAATAGTAGTGAAACATCCGCCTACTAATCGATTTAAACCATTCCAATACACATAATAAATAAAGTCATAAATAAAACATCTTTTATAAAATTCTATATAATATTAGAAAGTGAAACATTTTATA